TGTTGTTGTTGTTGTTGTTGTTGTTGTTGTTGTTGTTATTATTATTATTATTATTGCTAGATAAATGCTGTACAACCGAATAGATTTGACTGGAATTGAGAGATGTATAAATAATAATCAGCAGTGTATGAATGGGAGAAGGATCTGTGTAATCTTCATAGGTGCAGGGCCAATACTAACAGTCATAGGGTTCCTGTATTGTAATACAATGTGACATGTAAGGTTTTGGCTTAATATATAGAAATAACCATGATGCTTATTCATCAAACCATGACACTTGGGTATTGCAGTGTGTGAAGCCAGTTAGTGACTTGCTGAAAAACAGGAGTTTATGACAGATGCAGAGTTTAAAATAGGTCTTCTAATTCATAGTTCAGTGTCTTACTAAGCTTGTTTTCATATGTGCAGGGAAGACTATTGAGTGTTTCACGTAGATGGAAACAACCACAATAGCTTTGTATTCTTCATATGAGTCTTTTTAAATGGTCTGGGAAGAAAAAGTTGAAACTCTTCTATAGTAAGAGTAGGGGTTTGGGATTGCTGTTATCATTTTTGTTTCAAAATTCTGCATTTAATAAAACCGAATGTATTCCTCCAGGATTTTTTTAGATGAAGCTCATTTTATTTATAAAATAGAGTTGTGTATATTATAGAATGTTGTGTCTTTATCTAGGGACCTCCAACGGATGCACCTGCAGTTGACACAGCTGAGCAAGTTTACATTTCTTCACTTGCACTTCTAAAGGTAAATATCTGTGTGTGTTTTTAAGTATTGTGCAAAGCACTGAATATATTATAAGTGGGATGTTTCTGCTGCGTTTTGTATCAAAAGTTACATTTTCTGGGGTATTTAAAAATCAGATTTGAGAAATGGGAAATCCGATGCTCTCCAGGTGTTGCAAAAGTATACCTCACAACTCCCAGCAATGGCAAAGGATGCTAAAAGTGATGTGGTCAAGCAACATCTAGATAACGCTACCTTTTAGATACAATTATTTGTCATATTTTTACTTCCGTTCAGTTTTTCCTCCTGGCCAGTAAAAATTGCTCAACACTTAGCATTTAATGATTATGTTTGGTTCTCATTGAACTCTTTAAGGGTTCTTTGTCCTTCATTTTTTTCTCCACTGTATATTCTAAGTGGTTGATGATATACTGGCAAGTAGCTTTAATTTTACTATTATGGGCAGCTATCTGTTTCATGCCTATAGATGCTATACACATAACCTCTAAATGTGACTATTCAAATTATTCATGGTTTTTATATATGGTACAATATAGGATACAAAATAAAATGGTGCTATCTTTATAAACCCCACTATATGGCATATATTGCATGATCCTAAATGAGAAGCTAGCAAAGCATTGATTATGATAGTCTGTTGTCCTCAAACCTGGGCAATAACTGGCACACTGATCAAAGAAGAGAAAAGCTATTTTATGGCCAGAGATGACACTTGTACTATAAAAGTAGAGAGATTTTTTCCCCACTAGTGTCTCACTGTTCTGTGTCGTGCTCTTCATAGGTCTTCTTTTTCCAATGAAGATATTTTGAGCATAGATTTTGTAGATTGTTTTATACAAACAGAACTAATAGGCATTGGAAGGAATCATATATTTTATGAAATACTCTTTTATCTTTTTAAATGCATCGTCTTCTGAGATATGATCCACTCTTTTGCCAGTCCATTGTCTTTTGCTATCAGAAACTTGATTTCTCCAATAACAGCTTACTATGAATCTGTGTGTAAGACAGATCCTATAGTATTTTCAGAGAAAGCTGCTTTTGGCCTTAGAGCTCTTAAAGATGTGAATATATAATAGAAAAAGAAATTTAAAAACCACCAGAGAATCAAGCATCTGTTCCTTAAATATTATTCAGTAGAATTCTGATCTTTCCAGATGTTGAAGCATGGTCGAGCTGGTGTTCCCATGGAAGTTATGGGACTCATGCTTGGAGAATTTGTTGATGACTACACTGTCAGAGTGATTGATGTGTTTGCTATGCCACAGTCAGGAACGGTGAGTTCTTTCCGTTAGCACATGTGCTATAACACTGTTATAATTGTACCTCAAAAATGTTCTTCCCCAACATACTTAATTTTTTGAAGAAAATATTCATATATGCAGTGCATATATCCAAGCTTATATATAATGTGATGCTCTTATGTTCTATATAACTTTTCGAGTCATAAATAGCTATGTTGTTTTGTAATTAGATGTCAATTGCATGAAGCATTAGATTGAAAAATTCAATCTGTCAGGCGCAAACAACCAGGCCCATACTTGATGATTTTAATTAATTGTTTTATTGCTCAAGCCTATACACAGGACCTTCTCAGACTGATGGTTTGTACCTGGTTGAGACTAGATAAGTTTGAACAGCATTCAAAGGTGGTGGTATCAGACTTTGCCCTCTTGTGCTCACATAAAGATTCTAGCCTAAGTCCACTTTTGACTCCTCAAGCTCATTCTTTCCTTCTAAAATGTATCTCTAATTTTTTTTAAATATTACATTTATAAACTTGGGATATTAATTAAAAAGCTGGATTTTGATGTGAAAGCTACTGGCTAAGTGCCATAAATAGTGGTGATTTACTTTTTGAATTGCTCTCAAAGCATGATTAGACTGGATACATGGTAGGGGATGAAGTAAAGAATCTTAGACAAAGCAGTCACAGCTCACTTCATAGAATCTTCTAGGCTTAAATTACTATGCACTCCTAAAAGAGAGCAGTGAATACAAATGAATTAAATGTGTTTGTTAAAAGAAATATTTTTGTGATTTCTGACATTTCTCTTAGTAGATCATATTATTACTATTCTGAATTGGTCATGAAAGTTACTTGTACCTAAAATTGCCTTTGTTAATCTGCTTCTAAATGCAGGGAGTCAGTGTGGAGGCAGTTGATCCTGTGTTTCAAGCCAAAATGTTGGATATGTTAAAACAGACTGGAAGGTTAGGATTTTCTTTATTGACTATAAAATATGTTATAATAACAACCAAGTCCTCTTGATTTCCTATTCTATCATTTACTACTGTTTAAATATAACCTTGTTCCTTCTGGGTGATTTATATGATAGATTGCTTACATTTAATAATGGATTTAATATATTGTCAAAAGCCAGCTAAGTGTTTTCAGATTCCCATCACTGTTTTTCTCCAGGTTTTACAATATTCAATACAATATTCAATTACAATTACAATTACAATATTCAATAAGAAGTTAAATTTCTGTATTAACACAATGGAAAAGGGACAATTAACCAACCTTTTCCAACTTTTCAACCACTGTTCTGTATACTCAACAAAAATAATTTGGAAAAAAAATCATTTTTTTAAAAAATGAGGACTTCATTTGGAATGTCTCAACAGGTGCCATCTTTGTGCTGAAACTTTTATACTGATATAAAAACTTATACAAGCTTACTGTGTTTCCCCGGAAATAAGACAAGGTCTTAATTTATTTTGTCCCACAAAATATGGCCTTGGGCTTATTATAGGGGGAGGGCTTATTGTTTTGGGGTTGCCAGGCAGCTGCTCCCTTGCGAATTGGTTCCCGAAGAGCTGGGCACAGCCTCAGGGGCGAAGCAACCATGAGGTGACCATGCTTATGAGCAACCACCCGGCAAACCCCCTCTCCAACTGGGCAGAGCACCACTCACTGACCTAGGGAGTATCCCCAAGGCACGTGGCGCTCTGCCCACTTCCCAGTTCCCGCGGCTTGGCACATTTGGGATATCCCCTAGGTCAGTGCATGGAGCTCTGCCCAGCTGGAGAGGGGGGTTGCGGGAGCGCCTGTTCTGCCCCTGCCGCGCTCCGAGCATAACTTCTCCAGCTTCCAAACTCCAAAACTCGGCTGCCAAGTCTTCCAGCAGCGGCCACTCTAGGAGTGCGCTCTATGGTTGTGGGCCAGCTGCCAGACAGAGAGTCTGGGTTGGGGAGCAGGCAGAGCCTTGGTGCCTTAGGGATACCTAGGTCAGTGAATGGCGCTCTGCCCGGCTGGAGAGGGGGGTTTGCCGGGTGGCTGCTCGTGAGCGTGGTCACCTCATGGCTGCTTCGCCCCTGAGGCTGTGCCTGGCTCTTCAGGAGCCAGTTCGCAAAGGAGCAGCCGCCCAGCAACTCCCCCCTCCGGCCAGGCACAGCACCGCTCACTGACCTAGCAGTATCTCGAAGGCGCCAAGAAACATGAGAACCTTTCCCCCCTCTGGCTCCCGCGGCTTGGCACCTTCGGGATACCGCTAGGTCAGTGAGCGGTGCTCTGCCTGGCTGGAGGGGGGGGGTTGTCCAGGGAGCTTATTTTCGGGGGTGGGCTTATATTTTTGCCCACGCGAAAAATGTGACAAGGCATTAGTTTCAGGACAGGTTGTATTTTCGGGGAAACACAGTATAAGGATTAATGTGAACAAAAGTCTTGACCACCAAAGAGAACAGTACAAATTGCTTTTTGAGCAAATCTCTACTTCTGCTTTAATTGATAGTTAATCTTTTGATGTCATTTGATCCTATCATCCATGCTTGATAGATATTCTGCGGTGAAAAGCCAACTTGGCTCTAGTGTGTTCAGAGGAAATATTTCCCCAAAATGTGGAAACGATAAAAATTGGATAGGAGGTGTGGCAACAGGATGAAAAACTGAGAGCCTGACCTAGACTTGTTACTACACCTCCCTTAATGCTAGCACTTCTTCACCACATTTTTATGTTTTTATTATAATGTGGTGAGCATAAATATAAATGTTTCGCCTGGTGCTTTCTTTTTCCTTAGTAATTTCTTATGCTTCTGTAGATTACACTGTTGCTTTTCATATGTCCTGCTGCAAATAATTGAACTTCCCAATGCTTCCTTTTTTCCAGGCCCGAGATGGTTGTTGGCTGGTATCACAGCCATCCTGGTTTTGGCTGTTGGTTGTCTGGTGTGGATATCAATACTCAACAGAGCTTTGAGGCCCTTTCAGAAAGAGCTGTGGCAGTAGTAGTGGATCCCATTCAGAGTGTAAAAGGAAAGGTATGTGCTAGCTTATATTAATTAAATTATTCTTTTAATTTTTTTATCACATCTTGTATTATGGATTCTTTTACATGGAAAATTTTGGAAAATACGGTATGTTATTTCAACCATCTCGTCAGATAAAAATATGAGAATTGTCTTTCCCCTTTTTTTGCTTAAATCAAATATACCTAGCTTGAGGTATATAATTTTTTTTCACTTCCTTTAATTATTTTCTGTACTTTTTTTCTTGAAAAACTATTTGGTCTTTAGGGTAAATTAAAAAGAAACTTTAAAAACTTTTCTATTACATTTCTATTAAATCCAATACAATTTGTATCTTAGGGTCAAGACTATAAATACCATTTAGGTTGGTAAAACCTTCAATCTTTTCAAAATGAAATAGCAGGTCAAGATATATTAAATCCTTCTCTAGAGATACATAATGCTCATTCTTGAGATGGAATCGGGTACTTTTTACATATTCTCCAAAATAAAAATTTCTCTAAAAACCATTTTCAACCATTCACATTTTAGGGCAAGTTTGCAGATGAATGATTATGCAGAATCCTTATGAAAAGAGATTAACTTGCAAAGCATATTGGGTTATAGTTTGTCCTTTGTTGAAATCTCTTTTGTTCTTGTTTGATTCTTTTTTTATTTCTTTCTAGCCCCATATGCCATTTTCCTATTTCCTGCCTCATGACAGCAGGGAGCAGCTCTATTATCACCTTCACAGAGCTGTCTGCAAATGTGAGAGGCAATTCGATTTTGCTCAGCCACAGGGAGAGTGGATTAGAAAAACTACAGAACATAGAGAAATTGGCTAGGTGGTTACTGCTTTAAAATACTGCTGAGGTGTTTTGTTTCAGCATGCTTTCCTATTGTATTACAGAATAGTCATTCAATTAATATGTATGACATTTGTGCAATGTTATAAATATTTTAAGTATTTAAGTTTTTGTGTTAATGGATCTGTGATCGTAAGCTGGTTAACCAACTATAAATGTTGCCACTTTCTTGATAGGATGAAATGATCACTTGTATGAGTATAATAATAGCAACATATGGCCAAGTTAACTGTTAATTTTCATTTTAAATGTCAGTATATTTCTATATGTCTGTCCAGTTAACAATCCCTCTCCCCAACAAAAAACCTCAAATGTGGTGACTTAAATATATAATTGTAAAATACAAAATTATGCTTAGCATTTCAGATTGCAATGATATTAGGAAAGGAGAAAAAAAATCTAAGGCAAAGAAATTACTTCTCAGCTTTAAAATTTCCCTTATGTTGCAAAACAATGCTTTTGTATTATTACAACTACCCATTGATTCATATAAAGCTTGACAACTACGGTGAGGATTTGGGCATTGTGGATGTTTCTATATTCTGTATTCCCAGGCATTTTTTGTAATTCACTATTTTCTTGATAAATCTATCTAATATAATCCCATTTCATTAGACAATTAATTGATTGGATACGTTTATAGTTGATTGGGTAAGCTTTTGTATTTCTCTGGAATTCTTATGTTAATATCTATAGTTTCTAAAATTAAACTTACTATATTTTTCAGAGTATAAGACACACCTTTTCCCCTCAAAATGAAAAATGGGCCTGTTTTCACGAAAAACGGGCTTTTTTGCTCGTTTTTGGCTCCCCCATGCCCCCAGGAGCACTCTGCAAGCCCCCTAAAGGCTATTCATGCCTTTGGGGGGGGGAAATGGACTCGTTTTTGTGAAAAATGGGCCGTTTTTGGGAGGTTTGCAGAGTGCAAAAACTTTTTAAAATTTGCCTCTTCAAAACCTTGGTGCATCTTATACTCTGGTGCGTCTTATACTCCGAAAAATATGGTAATGAGAGAGATGGGCTTATAGCTTGGAGAATGAATTCTACAAGTTTTCATAGAAGATAGGAGTATTTTTGCCTAATCTACCTTGTTGTGCCAACTCTGTTTCTGACAAGGCCTCAGACCTGATGGTATTGTATTTGGTCTACATTATTGCTGTGAAGTTTTATATTTACTAGAAACTTGGGAACTTGGGCCAGAGTGTTGCAGTGAAAATGCTGATGTGTGCTTCTGTCTATCCTGGAAGGAGTGTTTTAGATACCTATTTATTTTCAATGTTACTAAATAGCCTTCCTGAACATGATGCCTTAATTCCACACCTAATCCTTTATTTATAAGCAAATCCATAAAATATCAACTTTTCAATCCTGATGTCAGCAAAAAGTTCACAAAGATTTGGCAGAGCATGTCTTATTTAACTTTCATCAAATAAACCAACTTTATATTCCTTTCTTTTACTTCTAACAGTCTTAATATTTAATTCAAATATTGATGTAGGATTTGATTTCTCTTCAATTCTTATTTATCCCCATGGCACAAATTTCTTCAAGACTTTAAAAGCCATTTTTATAACAATAGAAAACATTTTCCTGGCCATTCTCTTGGTTAATCATTTTTCTTTTAATTTTTAAAACTTTAGCCAGTTTCTTTTGTATATCCAGTACAGTGTCCTTTTCCAAATCATTATCCCAGCATGTCATTTGTAATTCTACTTCCGGTATTTGTTCCACACCTGTCATTCTTCATAACATATTTTAGACATTGTATATCCATAGAAACAGACATCATTATTGACAGTGTTGACATTATAGTTACTATTTTCTGACTCCATTCTTCAAAGATCTCCTTTAAGGTTTCCGATGTTTTGTGTCATGTTCTAAGTACCAGTATTAACTGGTATTAAGAACATGTTTGTATTTGATGACTTTTTAGATTTGTCATTCTGAAGGTCTTCAATAGCTTTAAAATGGTTAATAGACAATTTCTGAAAGTGAGTAGAAAGTGAGGTTTGCAAATGAAGTGTCCTTTAAAAGGCTCTGCTAGATTGTGAGCAAGAGGGATGATCTCGTTATTTCTTGGTGCTCAAGTCTGTGGAAAACTGATATCCTGTGGTCTCCTTGCAAGCAGCAACCATCTGGATCATGCATCCTCACCTTATTCAGAGATGTTCTGCGGAGCCAGTCTTCTCACTGGTTTCTTGGTCTTTCTTCAGCTGTCAGCTCCATTTTCATGGAGATGTCTTCAGTTTGCCTACCCTGAAATCCAAATTGAGGAAGCTGGAATCCAATTCTTATTCCTTTCTTTTTCCAGAAAAATAGAAACAGCTTTTTCATTTTTATAACCCAATATCTGCTATTACCATCATAAGAAAAGAAAGCCAAACCACATACTTTGATGGCCCAAACACAGAAAGAATTGTAAAGATCTGGAAAGATAATTTTATTGGAAAGAAAAGAAAGTACTGATAAAGGTTAAAAGAATAACTTCAAATTAGTTATTGCCCCAAATACTTTGAGATTGACAAAAAGAAAGCAGCTAGTTGAAAGTGTAACAATCCCAAATATATGCCCACTTCTATAACTTCGGAAATATATCAAATTCCCTTCCAAAACCAAACTCAATTTCAATGTACCACCTTAATTTATACTTCTATTTCATCAGCCTGAATTTATACAAAATTCTTGGCAGAGTTAATTACTTGAGTGTGGTTTGTAGAAATATCTTGTTGATTCATAACTGCAAACACCAAGAACTGTTGTGTGCCATCTGCTCTGAGCACTAGCACGGCACACTTTGGTATGTCTTTGCTTCTCCCCAAGCCACATTGGATCATCTGGTCTCTTGGTGTTTCTGTAGCTTCAGTTTTTCTTAATTTTTTGTGCTTCTGATGGTTTGCCTTCATTGGCTTCTCCACTTTTGTATGGTCTCCGATCCAAAACTAGCTCTTCGCTAATTCATTTTATACAGCTAGCACTTAACTGGTTCTAGGTCTGAAGAGTTCTTTGGCCTGTAAGCCTATTAAGAGTGTAATATCTTCCCAGTGTCAGAACATGACAAGTTTTTGGATTTCAATATTTAGGTGAGAGGTTTACATATAACAATGGATGCAAACACCTACACTATCCCTATATATATAACATACTCTGTTGATTAAATTTCAGCCAAATGTACCTTATTTCTGCTAAACCAATGTGTCTCTAAAATATAGATGAAGAATCCTTAAAATACTTACAATAGAAATATTCACTAGAAAGGAGGAACTGAAGTGTCTCCATCTTAATAAAATGTCTATCTTTGTACCAATTGCTGGTTATACCAATTACTGGTTACATGAGCAATCCTATTATGTATTATGAGTAACTTTCAAAAATGGTTCAGCTTGAGTTCTATGCATAGAATCCAAGTTCTATTTAGAGACTATATTCTCTATAGTTCTGTTTAGAGCCATGATGGGCAGCAGTATCTGAAGAATCCTTCATCAATGTTTCTTACTCTCAAATCAGTTAACTAATATTAGTCTATTCTCTCCTATCCCTTTTGTCATTCATACACTCTCTGGCAGTTCTCTCCAGCCATCCAACCTTTACCTTCATTGATTCTCAATGTTAGTATACTGTCTACCATCCACACTTTGTTCCACTTTTCGCATTACTGTCAGTCCCACAAATAGACCACACTACGAGAAACCATATAAGCATAAAGCTACGTTTATTTTAAAAAAGCTGTAGTAACGGAATCTTGCAACTCTGAATGTGCTTCCTCTCCCTTCTTTATTTTCATATAAAAAAGAGAGGCTGTCTAAGGCATTTTTGAAAATCTGTCTGTTAGTATGAGCTAAAGCTTCATTTATGTAATTGCTACACAACACGTAACCTGTTCAAAGATATTTCCTAAAACTAAACCGAGAAACAGAATGACCATGGTTGGGCAAAAAGGCAGTGGGAGTAGGAGTGACTTCTGACATCCTGCCAGCTTCCCCCTAGATTTTCCTTGTAGGAAGCTATCAGGGAGCATTGAAATGATGATCATGTGACTTGCTGCTGACCATTGCAGCACTGAAGCAGCCACAACTTTGCCAAATTTCAATCTTACAGGTGTCATGGATCCCATGTTTTGGATGCATTCTGTAAGTTAACCCATTTGTAGTATATTTTTCTTTTTCTTTT